ATGTGTTAGATTATATCAGGAGTTATTTACCCACGAATTTGTTCAATAAGATTAACGTAAATTTACCTCAAAACACTTTCCTCGCGGATCCTGATTACAATATGGGCGGTGAAATAGATCTACTTATAGGGGCGGAAATATTTTACAGTTTACTTTTAGATGGGATAATTCACGCACAGCCAAAAGGATTAATACTAAAAGAAACAGTTTTCGGTTGGATAATTTCAGGTAGCATATCAGCTCCTAGGCCAAATAAATTAGCCTCGTGTAATTTAACTACGTTGCAAGAGTTAAACGAAAAGATCTCGGCATTTTGGGAAGTTGAAAGAGTTCCTAATATTCAAATAAGGTCCTTCGAAGAACAAAGATGTGAAACGCATTTTCAAAAAACAATTACTCGTGATTCCAGTGGTAGATTTGTAGCGTCTCTCCCTTGGACGACGAACCCAAAGTTGTTAGGGCATTCGCTAGAAATTGCTAAAAAAACGTTTTCTAAATTTAGAGCGCAGGTTACTAAATCACAACGAGGAAAAATTAGAGTACGATAAGTTTTTGTGTGAGTATTTGCAATTAGGTCATATGCGCGAAATGGGAACCATTGAAAACGCGAATGATGGTTTTGGTTATTTTTTGCCACACCACGCAGTCTATAAAGCCGATAGTTTAACCACGAAAACAAGGGTTGTTTTCGACGCGTCTTCAAAAACGTCTACGGGCGTCTCGTTAAAATGATCTTTTAATGACTGGCCCGGTAATCCAAAGCGATTTATTTAGTATCTTAATTAGATTTCGATTCCACAAATACGTTGTAACTGCAGACATCAGCAAGATGTATCGGCAGATATTGATTAATCCCGATGACACAAAATTTCAACAAATTTTGTATCGTTTTGAGCACAGTGAGCCGATAAAGGCATTTGAATTACTTACATTAACTTATGGGACGCGACCGGCATCATTTATTGCAACTCGATGTTTAAAAGAATTGGCTCTAGCAATTGAAGATCAACCGCGAATTCAGAAAATTATCATGGAAGATTTTTACATGGATGATCTTATCACAGGGGCGGATAACCCCCAAGAATTAGTCTTTATCCGTGATAAGGTAAATCATATACTTTCGGAAGCAGGATTTCATTTACGCAAATGGGCGTCAAACAATCCAGACGTTTTAAATGGGTTTCATATGACTAACGTCACAAATTTAATATTGAACCTTAATCACGATGAATCTTTAAAAACATTAGGGGTAGGTTGGGCTCCTTCTTCAGACCTGATCCAATATAATGCGCATATGAATTCTACGAGATCAATCGTAACAAAACGGTTCATTTTAGCTAACGTCTCACAAATCTTTGATCCCTTAGGTCTTGTAGGTCCAGTCACGGTTATGGCAAAGCTGCTTATGCAGGACATTTGGAAATTACGCATTGGTTGGGATGTGGAGCTCTCGCAAAATTTAAAGCATCGTTGGGAGGAGATTTCAAGTCAATTACTTACCATTGGGGTAATAAAAATTACGCGATGCGTGGCAACAGATCCTACCTCCAGTTTAGAATTACACGGATTTTCAGACCCCAGTGTAAGGGCGTACGGTGCCTGTATCTATATCAGGGAAATTTTAGTAGATAATTCGGTACGATGCCAACTGCTATGCGCTAAATCACGTGTAGCGCCGCTGAAAACTTTAACTTTGCCAAAATTAGAACTATGCGCTGCTCTACTACTAACTGATTTAGTTGATAAGGTTTTAAATTCATCGCGAAAAGAATTTGCACGAGTTATATATTATTGCGATTCAACAATCACTTTGTCTTGGATAAAGGGTTGTCCAAGTAGATGGAAGGTTTTCGTTGCTCACAGAGTTGCAGATATCCAATCTAAATCTAACATCAATAATTGGGTTCATGTTCCTACGCAAGACAATCCTGCCGATATTATTTCCCGTGGATTATTACCGAAACAGTTGTCCAGTAGCAAATTATGGTGGAGCGGTCCTAATTTTTTACTAGACCCTAATTACTCGCCTACTATATTTTATCCCGATGAGATATCAATGGAAGCAAGGGTTTTAGTCGCATGCAAAAATATAAACTTTCAACAATTCTCAGATTTCATTTTTAATAAATTTTCTACGTTCGAAACCCTTATAAGAGTAACCGCATTCTGCAAACGTTTTATAAACAATTGCAGAGATAAATCTAAAAAAGTGGTAGGTAAATTATTACTATTGATGGAAATTAATGAAGCAGAAGCGACGCTTGTGAAAATGGTACAAGGAGAATCCTTTGGGGATGAAATTAGGTTATTAAAACAATCCAAAAATTTGAACTCTAATTCGCCCATTTTATCGCTTAATCCGTTTTTGGATGGCGAGATTTTGCGTGTGGGAGGAAGGTTACGTCATTCTGACTTAGCGTTCTCGAAAAAATTTCCAATATTATTGCCGAAATCGCACGCATTCACAAACCTAGTTATTCGAAATGAGCACATTAAAGCACTTCATGGTGGTGTGCAAACAACACTGTCGCAAATTAGACTACGGTATTGCCCGATACATGGCAGAAGCGTAACTCAAAAAATTCTTAGACAGTGCGTAGTATGCTTTACAAATAAACCAATTCCTTTTAATTACAAAATGGGTGATTTACCCAAAAGTAGATTGGCAATTGATCGTCCATTTGCTAAAGTGGGGGTGGATTATTTTGGGCCATTCCTTATAAAGGAGGGTGGTAGACGCTCAAAACGTACTTGTAAGGTGTACGGTTGTGTATTTGTTTGCATGCTAACAAAGGCAGTTCATTGTGAGGTGGTAGAGAGTTTAACTACCGAGGCATTTATTGCTTGCTTTAAAAGATTTATTTCGCGACGAGGATTATCAGCAGAAATATTTTGCGATAATGCGACCAATTTTGTTGGTACAAGCAATGAGCTTCGGGAATTGTATAAATTTTTAGAGAGTGAAAAGAACGCAGAAATAATTTCAGATGCAGTTTTGCAATATCGTGTTAAGTGAAATTTTAATCCACCAAAAGCGCCTCACTTTGGTGGTCTATGGGAAGCTGCGGTAAAATCTTTTAAAAATCACATTTACAAAATCGTGGCTCACGCAAATTTGGAATTTATAGAATTTTACACTTTACTTATCGAAATTGAAGGTGTTCTTAATTCTCGGCCGTTAATTCCTATGAGCTCAGATCCTAATGATCTCGACTTTCTCACCCCGGGTCATTTCTTAATTGGTGACCACATGCGTGCTTTACCAGAACTTGATTTAAGCGAAGAAAAGCCCAATCGTCTGTCTCGTTGGCAACGTATTCAGCAGTTGCGGCAGCAGTTTTGGAAGAAGTGGAGTCGAGATTATGTCCAAGAGCTCCAAAGGCGTCAAAAATGAAAAATTCCAGGAGATACGACTCTTACCGTTGGTCAACTTGTGCTTCTTCAAGAAGACAACGCTCCGTCACGTCATTGGAAATTGGGTCGTGTCACGAAAGTCCATCCTGGTCCAGATAACGTTGTGCGTGCGGCAACAATTAAGACGTCACATGGTGAAGTAAAACGACCATCAGTGCGATTGTGTGTGTTGCCAACAAATTAACGAGCCGTCAAGTGTTAGTAGCTTGATGTTTCATTTTTTTATTGTTGACTGTATGTACATTAATATTTTTTGTGATGCCATTTGTAGCGGCAACTTAGTAATGACAACAATTGGTTAAGTTTTGAATAATATTTAGTTGAAATACTTACCTATGTTAAATATTTCAAGGGGGCCGACTATGTACAAAACTTTAAATTTATTTGGTTTTCCCTTGCCTTGCGCAGTTCAATTTATTTTATTTTTGTGGAAAGAGAATGTGGATTGTATGATTTTGATTTGTAATCGTTGAACAATAACACGATTTTGAACCAGCAAAACACTATGCCCATATTGAATTTCATGCAATTCAGTTCATAACTAACGGAGATGTAAAAGCGATCGAACATTTCTAAACAAAGTTATCGTTCACACGGAGAGATAGATTGACAGACAGACAAAGGAACAGACGGACAGACCAACAGGCAGACGACAGATAGCAATGCAAAATTATAAACGATCTCTAGGATCGTTAATAAACGGCAAAGGTGTAAAATTATGGAACATGTAAAAAACGGTTTTTTGTTTTTTTTACAATAACTTTTTTTGTAAGCGGTACAGAAAAAATTCCTTTCTTGGTACAAGACTCGACACCATAACGAACCAAATAGCGAAAAAAGTAGAACAATAGCTCTTAAGATAAAGAACTAGTAGCGTCGCAAAACGAGCGGACGGACGAACGGACGGACGGACAGCCGGACGGACGGACGGACGGACGGACGGACAAAGTGGCCACAATAGCGCATTTTTTTTTTATTTTTGTGGAAATGCGCTAAAAAACAATTAACTCGACCCGTTGTACTATAACAAAATCAAATCTTAGTTTCATCGTACCGACAATTCTATAATCACTTTTCCCAGCAATTCCAATTTGCCTTCTAATTGGATATTACTTTGGTGACAACAAAATTAACTTCTTCAGTAAATTTACGGTTTTTATTCAAATCAAGTCGCGAAACCCGAAACCGTTCAAAATGTAACGATTTCATCACAAAAAATTGGTACGCCGAAGTGGATAATTAGATCTCAAGTTCAACGAGTTGGCGAGGGGTTGGCTCCGTTTCGTTACGGTGGATATTTGGTATTCCTACAACTGGGAAAACCAATACTACGCAGCGTATTATATCGTTTCCATAACGTTGCACATCGGAAAGCTCGCAAATAGAACAATATCAAATTACATTAACCCAGCGCCATGGCGATTGTAATGTAATAGCTTTCTAAATTGATTTCGTAATTACTATCAACGTACAATTTAATTCAATTTTGCGAAGGGTTGATAGGTATCCACTCCTCGAATTTAATTAGTAAATGTGCGGGAAAGTGAATAAAAAGGCAATACTCGTAAAAAGAATTTATTGCACACACTTACTTATATTGCACACGACACCATTTATAATGACGTAAACCCTTTTGACATATTGCACTTGTCATCTTACACTAAATAGCCGGGAGGGGGAGTAAATTTATGGCAGATAACCTAACGAATTTTCTATATTCGAACTAACTGGATTGAGTTCGCCGTCGATCTTGCGTCGAAATTCCATTTTGCCGATTTCGCCGACGCTCGACCGACGCGACTCGTCCGATTGGCTCTGTATCGTGTATAGCCCGTTTCGCGCGCTGTACATCTTCGAGGAACTATACAGGGAGTTGTTTTTCGACATGCGACCCTGATCGAGCCGCTTGCCGTGTATGAAGCTCTTCAGCTTGATCTTCTCGACGTCGTTCTCGTACGGGGGCGGGACGAGGTGACCGATGTCGGTCGTCTGGCTCAGCTTGATGTCGGCGAATAGCGCCGCGATCTCGGCCGCCTTCTTCACGGCGAGCGCCTCGGTGTACGCGCCTGCCGACATTGAGGCGAACGATTTGCCTTGAAAAGAAGAGGTGCATTAAACACTGATTGGAAAAATATAAACAAATTAAGATAATAATTTTGGCAAGTACATATAAATCATATAAATCATTTCTCTCATTTTGGAGGCTATAAAATTGGATTTATTAACTACGTTAGTGGCCCGTTGAACTTTAAATTTTAAATTTTGAATATCGAATCCCGAATCTCCAATCTCTAATCCAACTATCTTGAATCTCAATCTCGAATCTTTTCAAAATTTTGAATTTTTATTGTTGATTTTTGATTTTTAATTTTCGATTTTTGAATTTCGATTTTTAATCTTGAATCTTGGGTCTTGAGTCTTGAATCTTGAGCTTTGAACTTTAAACGTTGAACTTTGAATTTTGAATTTCGAATTTTGAATATTGAATCTATCTCGAATCTTTAATCTTGAACCTTGAATTTCGAATTTTCGGATTTTGAATTTTAAATTTTGAACTTTGAATTTTAAATTTGGAATATCGAATCCTGAATCTCCAATCACGTATATTGAATCTATCTTGGATCTAAATCTCGAATCTTGAATCTTGAATTTCGAATTTCGAATTTTGAATTTTGAACTTTGAACTTTGATTAAAATCGGTGTTGTTTACCTACTTCTAACTGAAGGGATTCGGTTTTCTACTACGTAGGAGTGGAGTAATCGGAAAATATGATCGGAAAATCATTTGTCTTCATAATCTCTTCCAAATCTTATCAAAATCGCTTCACATCTCTTCAAAATCTCTTAAAAATCTTTTCAAAAACTATTCAAATTTTCTTCAAGATCTCTTCAAAGTCTCTTCAAAATCTCTTTAATACTTCCTGAAAAGCCCTTCAAAATCTCTTCAAAGTTTCTTCAAAATCTCCTCAAAATATCTTCAAAATCTTGAGCTTTGAACTTTGCGCACTGAGCTTTGAATTTTTAATGTTAATTTGAATTTTAAGTTTTGAATTTTGAATTTTGATTTGAATTTTAAGTTTTGAATTTTGCATTTTGAATTTTGAATTTCGAATTTCGAATTTTGAATTTTGAATTTAGATTTGAATTTTAAGTTTTGAATTTTGAATTTTGAAAACTAATTTTGAATTTCGAATCCCGAATCTCCAATCTCGAATATTGAATCTATCTTGAATCTCAATCTCGAATCTTGAACCTTGAACCTTGAATTTCGAATTTTGAATTTTAAATTTTGAATATCGAATCCTGAATTTCCAATCTTGAATATTGAATCTATCTTGAATCTCAATCTCTAATCTTTTCAAAATTTTGAATTTTAGATTTTGAATTTGTTGATTTTTGATTTTTGATTTTCGATTTTTGAATTTCGATTTTTAATCTTGAATCTTGGGTCTTGAGTCTTGAATCTTGAGCTTTGAACTTTAAACGTTGAACTTTGAATTTTGAATTTTCAATTTTGAATTTTGAAAACTTTGAATTTGGTATTGTACTTCAAAATCGCTTCAAAATCTTTTCAAAATTTCTTCAAAATCTCTTCAATATCTCTTCCAAGTCTCTTCAAAATCTCACTAAATTTAGATTTTGAATTTTGATTTTCGATTTTTGATTTTTGATTTTCGATTTTTAATCTTGAGTCTTGAATCTTGAGCTTTTAACTTCGAATTGTGAATTTTTTTGAATTTTGAATTTTGAATATCGAATTCCGAATCTCGAATACTGAATCTGTGATGACTTTCGCCGACTTTGAGACAAAAATGAGACTATTGGCCTCAGATGACCTTGATAATATAATTTGACACGGCAAAAATGAGTTCATTGACATCACATAGAGGTCTTTGACTTTTGATAACCTCTAACATGTAATTTGACACCGCAAAACACGGGACCATTGACTTCGTATGCTTTTGAAAATGCTATTTGATACCGCAAAATGGGTTCATTAATCTTGGATTACCTCGAGAATGTAATTGGCATTGACCTTCTATGACCTTGAAAGTAAATCAACACAAAAATGTGGCCATTGACCTTGGATTATATTGAAAATGAATTCTCTCCCCACAATTGAGGTCACTGACCTTAGTTGACCTTGAAAATGTTATTTAACAACACAATTGGAGCCATTGAGCTGGGATGACCTTGAAAATATAATTTAACACCATGGGCCTAAATACCTTATATGCCCTTAAACATGTAATTTAACACCACATCAATTGAGGTAATTGACCTTTTAAGTGTAATTTGACACCCCAAAAAAATGTGAAGTGAAAAGTTTTTACTGTCCGAATAGTCACCGAAAAAGTGTCATCTTATTGAAACCACTTTCTAATGCGTTCGCCTAAACCGAATCTGTACTCTATTCCCTAACTTCTCCAGAATCCCGTGGGGATTCCTTTAGGACCTCTCTAGATGGATAACTAATTCGCGGTTTCGGTCACATGGTGGATGGTGGATTTTATATTTACTTTGACACTATGACACAAAGACACTATGGAAGTATAACGTGACTTTATGGCATTATGTCATTATAACATTATTACATTATGACTTGAGAGATATTTGGCATTTTGACATTTTGACATATAGATATTTTGACATTCTAACATTACGATGTTCTGAGATTGTGACATTTGGCATGAAGATATTCTGGCATTATGAAATTTAATATGATGATATTTAGCCATGTTTGTTTTTTGACGTTTTGATATTTTGACGACCTGGATTCTGGAATGATGACATTCGGACCTATAAAGTGTTGACATTTTTGCCAATCTGACATCTCGAAGTTTTGACGTTTTTACGTTTTGACCTTTCGACATATCTACGTTTACGTTTTGACGCTATGACCAACGATTTGGCGGTTTGATAATTTGAAGTGTTTACGTTTTGATATTTTGGCATGATGGTCTTCTGAACTGAGATTTTGACGCATTGATAATCTAACCTTTAGGCGTTTCGAATTGTTAACATTTTGCCATTATGAGCTTTTCACTTTTTCCGTTTTGCCAACTTGAAATTTTGTCATTCTGACGTTTTACTGTCATGACGTTTTGACATTTTAATTGTTTGGCCCATAATAACATTTTGATATCATCAATTTAGACATTTGACACTTTGTCTTGTCGATTCTTTAGTGTTTTGACGACTTGACGCTCAAACATTTTGACGTCTTGAGCTATCGACGAGTTTTGGCATTTCTGCACCCTGACAATTCTATATTTTGAAATTTCGACCCTTTACCTTTTGATATCTATTAGTTATAACATGTGTTATTTTGAAGTTTTATATTATGACGTTTTGCAGTATTATAATTTTGACAGTTTTTAAAATTTTTGCAATTTTTGACATTATAGAATTAAGACATCATGCCATGACATTGTAATGTGACACTATGATCTATGCCACTGTGACATTATGGACATTATGGAATCATGACACGACGGCACTGTGGCCCTATGACGCTATGACACTATGACTATGACTTGGTTGAAACCTCGCCCACTCAAAAATAAAGGCAAAATAAGATAAATTAAAATAAAATAAAATACAATTGAACTAAGACACTATATGGCACTATAACTGTACGGCACAATGGCACTATAGCATCATGGCAAAGGGTAATATGAAGCTAAGGCGCTATGACGCAAAGACGGTACGACATTACGGTGCTGTGGCGAGATGACACCATGACACCGTAACACTATGACACGCTGGCGCAACAACTTTATGGCACTTTGACACTATGGCAGTGTGACATTTTGATTGTTTGGAATTTTGACATTGAGACATTGTGACATTTGTCATGAAATTTTGATATGATATTTTGGCATGTTTGCATTTTGACGTTGTGATAATTTGACGCTTAAGCATTTTCAAATTTTGACATTACGACATTATAATCTGTCACAGTCAAGTATTGACCATTTGAAATGATTTTGCCACATTCTGACATTTTGGTGTTTTGACCTGTTAAACTTTTCACCTTTACAGGTTTGCCGTTTTGCCATACTGACGTTTTTTTCGTTTTGGTGTTGGCGTTGTGAAGATGAAACTTTTGACGTTTAGACATTTCGCCATTTATGATAAATTGACATTTTAAGTTTTTGACGTTCGACGCTACGAGTTTTGACATTTTGACGTTACGACCATTTTAATATTTTTTATTATGTCGTGTTGACAAATTTCAAATTGAACAATCTTGGAATTTTAATATTTCGAAATTTTCAAATTTTGACACATTGACATTTTGTAATTTTGACATATTGAGCTATGGATTTTTAACTTTCTTTATGTTTGACCCGATTGACCTTTTGATGAATCAACGTTACCACGCCTTTACGAGCTCGATGTTTCCGTTTTGACCTTTTGTCTTCTCATTACATATAAAATTTAGATTGAAATTTTAAGATTTTGACATTATTACATTTTGACTTTCACGTTTTTATTTTTTGACAATTTGACATTTCATTTTGTTTTTTGCAGGTTTTAAGCGTTTTTACCTTTTGACGCTTGACGTTTTGACAGTTTTACGTTTTCAAATTTTGACGTTTTGGCATTTATCAAAATTTAACAAGACATTTTGACAGTATGATATTCTAGTCGTTTTTACGATTTGAATAATTAACGTTTTGCCGTATTTTTCATTTAATATTCGCATTTTTGACCATTTCACGTTCTCTGTTTTGCCATATTGATGCTTATTTATCTGGATGTTTTGACGTTTTAAAGCTTTTTTGGTGACAAATTCATTTGTTATTTGACATTTTGACTTATCTGCCTTCTGACGTTATGACGATTTGACGTTTTAACTTTGATTGAGATTATTTAGTACGTATTGCCCTGTATGATTTAGTTAACCGTTTATTCCGCGGAGAAAAAACCTAATGCAGGCTCAATTACGCCGAGGATTAAAAATTAAATCAACATAACAAAGAGAATAAAAGAGAAAAGAACTTACCATCACTCCGTCTTTCAGTGAACCTGCAGGAACTGTTGACTGACCTAATGGACGCGTGGTTGTACACTCGTGGACGACCACTCTCGCTCACTGATTTACCATGTTCCATATTAGTGATATTACGATTGGAAATCGTGCACGATTCGTAACCGACGGCCAAGTTATCGAAGCTACGAACCGAATGCGCCATACGCTTAGCGAGCGCCTGAAATTCCTTGGACCTCAAGGTTTCGTAATACTTTTCGGTAGGGTTATGCATGTATTCGACGCTCCTGGTGCTCTTCGTGTTGGAATTATTCTTGCAAAGCTTGCGCCTGGTGCGCCTCTCCGCCATCACTCCGCTCACCTTCAGGTGCTTAACAATCGCGAACCCCTGGCCCTTTTGACAGTAGCACTTGTTGCTATCGGTGCAACTGTCGGTGTCGCACTCGCACGCCGACATCGCGTCAGCGCTGCAGTAGCACTTTTCCGGTGACTTCAGCTTGCACTTGCGCTGCTTTTTGCTGACGTTTTTGTGTCCCAGCGAGCAGTAGCACTTATCCGCACTGACGCACGTGCAGGTGTCACTATCGTAGCTGCACTCGGAGCACGACACGTAACCACTCGACGAGTTTCGGTTCTGAAATTGACCCTTGCTGTTCGCTCTCTGCAAGGAAAAGAAGTCGCTCTCCTCCGACGTACTGACGCGATCCTTCTGCTTTTTGTCCGACCGTTTGCGACCCTGCTTTCGGCCGTTGGAAGCTTTCGGCCTAAAGTGCTTCGTGTCATAGGACGAGGTGCTTATACTGCTCTCCAAGAGCTTTTTACTATGAGGCGGCTCTGGCACCTTAGTTTTGTGCTTCATTTTCCTACTACCGACCTTGCTTCTCAACCGAAAGATTCTCTTTAACGTTTTGAACTTGCGCGTACCAACGCGACTTTTTCGCCGTGCTTGTACCCCCACCCCCCTTAAGATTCTCTTCTTCTGCTTGCGCATGATCGCCTTCGAGCGTTGGTACAACTCGTCTTTGGTCAGCGTCAGCGAGAGCTTCAATAGAAACTCCTTGTAAATCGGCTTGAGGTCATTAAACGACATGCCCTCTGGATCAATGATGACACCCAAAATATCGTCGACCGAATGCAGACCCTCCTGTATCCTGAACTCGTTGAACAGCTCGTTGAAACCTAGCGGAGATCCTCCCGCCGCCTGCCCGTTGATCCTGTAAAGAAACTCGGTCATCACACGCCAACAAAGCACTGTAGACGAGCTCACCTCGAGATCTTCGATTTATAGCGCGTCAATCCGCCGGCGTTCAGAAAGCTACCGGACCGAGGAATGGTAACCTTGGTCAGTATATCGCCGGCCGCGTCTTTGCTCGCGTCCTTGGTCTGACTTTGGATCTTCTGGAAGCCGCGGTGATTCCCCTCGCTGATCACCTGCTTGATTTCGGCCGTGATCTGCTTTTGGTGCGCGCTCATAAGCGTGTTCCACTTTTCGGTCAGTATTGCGGGGTTGATGTCCTTGGCCTCCTCGTAGGTCGCGATCGCGTCCAGGTCCTGGCGGGGAGGGTCGGGCGCCTTCGGAGCCCGTCGAGTTTTTACGCTCTTCTTTGGCGTCGGCTTGCTTCGACTTAGTAGCAGTTGCGTGTCCGAGGCCTGAAGAAGAAAAATTTCGTTTGATGAAACACAATTTTCGTACATATCTGAATCAAAAGCGGGTACATTGTTTTGTACCCCTAATCTAATATACCTAACTCAAAAACAAAATTCGGATAAACATATGAATAGAAATAACACATTATTCACAACTATTATTCTCATTGGGAACAAAAAAGTTTTTTAAAAAATGCGAGTCTGCTATTGGTTTAGAGGGGACGTTGGTCGCTGAAATTCCGTTGGTTCCGTTTTGGGCTCGGTATAATTAGCGAAGTAAACGGAGAAAGGGATCGATAGAAGCAGGAATTAGTCCGCTCGATTTGCGGTTACGAAAATTAGATCGTGCGATTAACGTCAAAAATATAAGTAGCGTGATCGAGCAATACTCGCTTTGGAGTAAGAGGACTTTTTGGCGAGAATTTTAGTTGCGGAAGAATACCGTTATTGCATTTTCGGGAGAGCGCCATACGTGTGAATTTTGCGACATTAAATTAATTTGGTGTTGCGATCGCGCAAACAAAAAATTAAAAAGTTGTCTCCGCGCGAAATAAAACATTCCACGTGTGTATTACGAGCTCTGAGCGCGCCGAAGTTCATATACTCTTATCTATGAGGAATTAATTTATTAATCAATCACGACGCACCTTGGATTAAGAAAAGCTGACAAATTCGATCAGGAGATCTCATCAATATGGGCGAAACGAATCTGGGCAATGGTAGACAATGGTCATTCCTGTACTTTAAATAACACAAACACGAACTTTGGCTCCAAATTCCTGACAATTTGGCTGCACATGGAAAATTAGTAGCAAATTATGGGTGTAACACTTTTGTACTTTTCCGAATGGATACTGCCAACGGATCTCGAAAACGGAAATTCTGCAAAAGGGTAATCACAATGGAAAAATGACGGGTGTTGACAAAGTGTTTCTGTAGTACCTGCCCAAAGTTCGAGAACGAACGAAAGAGGGTAGTCACAAGGGAAAAATGAAAGGTGCATGCGAGACGTATCTGTTGACGGTATCCGGTAAAGATGTTGGCAGAGAAGGGAGAGACAGCTAGAAGAAGGGAAGAGAGCGAATTGAGAGGGGAGGGGGAAGAGAGAAATATGGAAAAAACGATAGAGAAATTGATGGAGGGAGTAAAGGTGGAAATAAGAATAGCGGCCAATGTGACAAAGGAGCAAATAGATAAAATGTAAGAGAAGATGATGCAGAAAATAAGGAGCTAGGAAATGAAAGGAAAGGTCAATAGGATAAGGAAAAAGAAGAACTTATAGAAAGAATAACTCATTCGAAGAAGAAAATGTGAGAAAAGAAAGAAGAAAAAAAGAATAGCGATAGAGGGAGTAGAGTTGGCAAATGGGAATGCGAGAGGTACAGCCGAATGTAAAAGAGGCGAAATCGCGGAACTAACATGGGAAAAGAAGAGAGAGGTTATGTGGACGAAGGGTAAATTAAAGGGGGCGAAATATATAGATGATAAGTTGACATTATGAAGAAAGAAGGGCAAAGAGAAAGCGAAAGAGGATGAGGATATAGGAAACTAATAGTGAAAGATGAAGAATACAGATGTAGTACCAAACAAAAAGGATTAATGAGAACAGAGAGGAAAAGAAGGGGAAGGGAACGGGCAGGGTTTGGAGGAAGAAACTAACAGCAAATGAGAAGATACAGTAAGAAAGAGAGGGGGAAGGAGGTACAGACCCAAACAACAGAAGAAAAGAGAAAAACGAAATAAGAATGGAGAAGGGCAACATGAAAATGATATTATGGATTGTAGCGGATTAGAAAATAAAGAGTAGGATTCCGAATGCTAGAAATGATAAGGGAATAGAGGAATGAAACGAAAGAGGAGGAAGGAATACAAGCCACACGAGTGGAAACGGAGGGAAAGAAAATGATAATGATAACGATAAACAACAGAGAAGGAATGAAGAACATAAAAATAAAATAGAGAATTTGGTAGATGAAAGGGGGGAGGAAGTGCTAATATTGGGGGGGGGGGGATTTTAATACCAGAATAGGAATGGTAGAGATAGGAACAGGTACACAAAGTAGACAATCAAGAGATAATTAGTGCAACAAAGAGGGAGGAATGCTACTGGAATGATCACAAAAGAGAGGTTGGCGAATTTTAAACGGAAATATGGAGGGGGATGGGGACGAACAATTCACATTCATGGGAGGAAGAGGGAGGTCGGTAAATGATTACACAATTTGTAAACGAAAAAAGACTGGAAAAAATAGATTAATTTAAGGGAGGAACAAGGATAGAATCGAATTCAGTCTAAAAGGGAAGTTAAGAAGACCAAGAAATAAAAAGACGCGAAAACGAAGGGAGATATACAGTTATGAACAAGGGATACATTGGAACTACGTAGAGGGGGACTAGAAGAACGAAGAGAAAAAATAGGAGGGAGTACAGAGGAGGAGTGGAATAAAAGAGAATATTAAAAAAGCAAATGTAGAAATAAATAACTGAGCGAGAGCGGAGAGAAAAAAAAGGAGTGGGGGGACAAAGAGTTTACGGAAGAAAGAAATAGACATAGAGGAATAATGGAGAAGGTATGAAAAGGGGAGGAAAGAGGTAAGAGAACAGGAAAAAGTCCAAAAAGCAGTGTAAAAAATATGAAGAAACAAAAAGAATACGAAGAGCAAATCAGGGAAATAAAAACAGAGAAGAATTTTTGGTGTGATAGACGAAAAATGAGTTAGAGTGAGAGGGAAATGCAATTAGAGTATTGAAAACAGCAATAGTAGTTATACAGGGGCGATCCTGGCGATATTTTTTGAGTATTTTCAAAATGCGACCATCGCTGCCCGCATCTTCTATTTGCGTTATCCGAATCGACCACGAATCATCGCCGCCAGCATATTAAATGCATCTTGGTTAGAAATCGGCATTTTAGAAAACATTACAAATTCAAAAAACTGCACTTTCTGAATGCGTAAACACAGCAGAATAATTTACAAATTACGACTGTTATTATTTTATAATGCATCGTGTTTCATTTGTTTAATTTTCCAAGGCCTACCTAAAAGTGTAGGGTCCTTTTCCAAACAATCTTTCGCGTCATCGACAAATACCGGAAATACGTCAAATAAGATACAATTTAAGCATTTTTATTAATTAGTCTCATTTTCCCAATATTTGAGGTTAGGAACGATATTTTGAAAAACTGTTTTCACTGGCCTCTTTGGGTGTTATTTGGCTACTTTTTCATAAAGAAAAGTCATATTATTCCATTTGGTTTTTTTGATTTTTTTAGGATTTTGGATCATACTGTCAAAACTAGCCCCCTGGCGGAGAAGGATTCAACTAAATTAACTATATTTTGGTAGATTCTTGTTGCCTAACGATACCAAATTTGTTACAATCGGTCAAACGGTTAAGTTAAAGCAGGTTATTGCAAAAACAATTGAACGCCCCACATCATCTTTGTTGAAATAACTGAGTTTTTGTTTTTACGAAAAAGATAGATAAACTGGTTCTCTTTAAAAATGTGAAAAAAGAATGGTTAGTTTATTATGCGAAATTTTAAAATTTAAGATGGCAGTTACAACCTCTAGTGGTCATTTTTTGAACTTGTAAATATTTTCCAGCGATTCTACATGACCGATTTACTCAATAATATTTTTTACCCCTAAGTCATACGACGAACGGTTCCCGAGATATGGCCGAGGAACGGTCTTATTGGGTCACCCGGTACAGTGTCGGCAGTGTATGATTGTTTTTTAATCAGAGTTTCAAAAATGTTTCAAACACAAGCAGAACTGGTTGATATGGTGTTTATTCTTGGAGACTGTTATCCCAGCGTACTCTTGTGACGTCAATAAACAATTCCGGTAACAGTCTCCAAGAATATACTCCATATCAACCAGTTCTGCTTGTGTTTGGAACATTTTTGAAACTCTGATTAAAAAACAATCGTTAAAGTTAGGGGTATAAATGTTACGTACTCTCCAAATCAGTAAAAAATATGAAGTGTTCCATTTAAAGTTTGATACGCCACTGGAATACAGCACGCCCCTGGTGATCAAAATTATTATAGAAACATGCCGGCGGTAATTGTGTACAATTTTGCCCTCAGACTTTTTTCGGTATCTTTTATGATAGATGAGTTATACTCCGAGGAATCTTAGGTGCTACACCCTGTATATTGCATAAATCTGTGGCAGGATCTATGCATATGTGAGAGACATACAGAAGGACACACAAGTGTACGGTGTTGCAGTTCACGCCAGGCGCATTTAATTTTCTTAATGTTCTTGTGATCGGATTTTTACCATATATACAGGGTCATTCTTGACGAGCGTCAGTTAGAAAGATATGGAAAACCTTTGAAAATGAAGATAAACTGATAAGTTCTTTAAGGGTTTTGGCACATGATGAATTGAACTAAAATATTTTCAAGATGGCACCACTTCCGGAAATACCGGAAGTAGCCATCAACTTTGTTATTTTAAATAGGGACCCCCCATTTTTTTCTACATTTTCGGATTCTACGTCGAATTTGGAGTACAACGATACCCCATAGTTGACCCTTTGCTCCAAGGGCTTCGCCGATATTCAACTTTTTATGTAAAATATTGAATTTGCAGGGGTAACTTTAAAAATTTATTATTCGAAAACGGTGAGAGATATTGCAACACCGTTTGCACTGATTTATTAAAGAAAGATCGAATTTTCTTATGGTATACGTAACAGTCTAAGAAATTGAGACTACGTCACTTTTTCAACTCAACTTTTAAACTTTTAAATACCCATAACTCCATTTTTTCAAATGACACCCCCCATTTTGTTCTTCACCCTTGTTTTCCTTTTTCCCAGACCTTTAATTTGATACAAAATGTCAAAAGCTCCTTCAAACGGTTTTCGAGATATTCCATGTTTTAGTTACTTCTTGTGGCAAATTGATAAAAAAATTAAGTCGCTTGTTGTTATTCTTTTGTTTTTATTATGATAATGTTTAAACGTCAAAAAATAACTGTACTGGCGTATTTTACAGTTATTTTTTGTTCTTCAGAGTCTACCACAGGCTTCCTTTTTTGTATTTTTGTTTGAAACGTACCTATTCCTGAAATTTTGTATTAATTTGCGAATTATAGCCTCTGTGGGTTGCGCCTTGTCAGGGATCTTTCGGAAAAAAGACGGCAAGTCCTGGCCGCTGTTCGATTATATCCACCGTGTATTAATATTAAATTCAAAAAATCTTCATTAGTGTAACCCAAACGAGCCATTATTGACGAGAAGTATAAGTTCAAGCAGCAAAAATTTGACGTTTAAACATTATCATAATAAAAACAAAAGAATAACAACAAGCGACTTAATTTTTTTATCAATTTGCCACAAGAAGTAACTAAAACATGGAATATCTCGGAAACCGTTTGAAGGAGCTTTTGACATTTTGTATCAAATTAAAGGTCTAGGAAAAAGGAAAACAAGGGTGAAGAACACAATGGGGGGTACCATTCGAAAAAATGGAGTTACGGATATTTAAAAGTTTAAAAGTTGAGAGCTTTGAAAAAGTGACGTAGTCTCGCTTTCTTAGACTGTTACCAGAAGAAAATTCGATCTTTCTTTAATAAATCAGTGAAAACTGTGTGGGAATATCTCTCACCGTTTTCGAATAATAAAGTTTTAAATTACCCCTGCAAATTCAATTTTTGACATAAAAACTTGAATATCGGCGAAGCCCTTGGACTAAAGGGTCAACTATGGGTATCGTTGTACTCCAAATTCGACGTAGAATCCGAAAATGTAGAAAAAATAGGGGATCCCTATTTAAAATAACAAAGTTGATGGCTACTTCCGGTATTTCCGGAAGTGGCGCCATTTTGAAAATATTTTAGTTCAATTAATCATGTGCCAAAACCCTTAAAGAACTTATCAGTTTATCTTCATTTTCAAAGGTTTTCCATATCTTTCTAACTGACGCTCGTCAAGAATGACCCTGTATAATTTTTACTCGGTGGCAAAATCACACCGGTCACATTTTAAATCCTTGGTAGGTTTTGATAGGCTTTACGACTGTATCTATGTTTGATGACGAAATCGCACTGGGCACACTTTAAATTCTTGGTGATCCTATATGTTAATAAATGTGTTTTATATATTAGATTTATCACGTTATGTAATCACACTGGATACATTTTAAATTGTCTCGTGTGTTAAAATGTGTGTACTTCCGGTGCAAAATACAGGGTCGCTATTAAAGATGGAACTCAATTTGACAAAAGGGACATTAATGAGCAAACGTCTAAAATGATCGATAATAACAAGAATACGTACGTCTATCCCCTCTTTCTCGCTGCCCGCCGACGAAGACGTGCTCCTCTTCTTCCTCGGCGGCCTAATTGGGGCGTAATTGGTGGAACTGTCATTAAAAACGCTCGACGTAACCGACATGCACGTAATGCCGTTCTTATTCTTCGGCTTCCTATCTTTGTACTTCATGTGGGTCATTAGCGACTTGTAAAGCGTTGCGGCGATCACGATCGCGTCCTCCGACGTCTGACATATAAACGCGTGGCACTCGAGCTGCCGCTCGACGCTGAGATTCTTCATGACGATGGCGACGAGCGGCTGGTGCGTCTCCGTCTTGACGCATCGTCGCTCGTCGCCGTTCAGCTTCCGGAACAGCATCTGCTTGTCCATGTTATCCGGATCGGTGATCAGGGGGAGAAACGCGTACGAAGCGCGCTCGCCGTGCTGATCCTGCAGGACGAATTTGACCGCCGACCAGACGGCGATTGTGGAGAACGGGTTCAGCCGTTCCAAATCGCCTGCAATTAGATATTACTTAGTGATACCACAGATATACGTCGATACCCAAAGTTTCGCGACAATTTACCTTTTTCGCCCTCATATTGGATGCGCAGACCTTCGGTGGAGATCTCCAGTCTGCTCGTCAACGGCTTCTTCACCTTGGTACTGGATTTGTACGTGAAATAAAGATCCTTCAAGGGATCCTGCAGACCGGACAGACTGGCGACCTTCTGCTGCAGCGCCACCGACCCCACGTAATCGACGGAGAACACGTGACAGCCGATTTCCTTGTTCGAAATTCCGCCGTCGGACGCGATATCGCTGAACATCTTCTCGATCTTCGCCTGAACGCTGTTTTTCGTGTTCGAGCTCGAGTCCGACTCGAACATCGAGTCGATCTTCTGCTTGTACACGCTGTAGATACTTCCCGTCTCGTCCTGACTGTCCAACAGGCGAAAGCTCGAAGGTCCGCCGTCTTCCGACTTGGGCTGAAATCCGAACGGCGGCGGCGGCGGCGGCGGAGGACGCGGTATCTCCATATTGCACACGACCATCCTTGATCGACACAATCAGGTCAAACCGTTAACATTGTTCGAGTCAATTAACGTAACGCCCGTTCCAAATTAGCACAGCCGATGAATGGATAATTTTACGCAGTTACTCCGCAATTGCACACATGTCGAGGCGATGTTCGGAAAAATCTAATTTGCTTATACCATCTGTCGCCGTCTATTATTTAGTTAACTTCTCGGTAACGGATCGCCTTTTATTATTCCACGATCGTTGTCCGTTTATTGCACCTGAAACAACAAATCGAGAATAAATTTATGATTGCAGCACAACGTTATATAACAAGTAAATACGTAATTTTCTGATTACGCTTTCGGGCTATTCCCCCAAAAAACCGTTAAGGCGGCAAAAGTCAATGCGACCAGAATGCCAAATACGCGCATTTTAAGGTATTCCAACTGCGAAACGGGGGTGTGATCTTATTAACCGTTGTTTGTCTTTCGTGAATTTGACAAATTTAACAGTAAATTGTAAATTGTGTATTTTTTAAAACCGAAATAGCTTAGTAAAATCCTCCGACATTCCATTATGTAGATTTGTACTTTCCTCCGGCAAACCGTTTTCGAGATATTCGCTTTTAAAGTTTTGACCTCGCCAATTGATCCAAACGTCCCAATTGCCCTGTATGAGTGCCCTCTTCCGACAATCCGTTCTGGAGATATAAGGGAATATATCCGATCACGATAAGGAGTCGAGGAGGAGGACTATGGGTGGTAGAAAGAAATTCCTTTTTTTGAGACCTTTCATTAGAGTACCATGCAGGATAAAACCTGTTCCCCCCCCCCCCCTCCCAGACCCGTCTTTTGGTAAGAGGACAGAAAGAAGGGCAGTGGTTGGTAGAAAACGGTGCCTTTCGTTGAGACCTTTAATTAGAATACCGTGAAAGATAAAATTAATATCTAACACCCCCACCCCCTTCCCTCGCCCTGGAAAGTTATAGTTTGTACAAACCAAATAATTCACGCTCCCCCCCTCCCGCCCTGTAATTTGATGTCCGCCTGCCACACCTTCAAGGTATAGGCTACCTACTGCAACCTAGTGCAACAAAGAGGGAGGAATGCTACTTGAATGATCACAAAAGAGTTTGTGCAAATCAATTTATTTCGATAAGAGCTTTTATTAGAATACCATGAAGGGTAGAACATGTGTTTACCCACCTACTGCAACAAATTCCAGGACTCTAGGACCATTCCCCTAGAAGTAGTTCAAAACGGCAGAAGTGGGTTTAGACGGTCAGACGGACAAATCGCAAACAATAGAACAATTTTTGTTTAATTCTTAAAAAATGCGTAAAAAATAAGTGGTGACTATACTAGCATTTTTCCGCTTTTTTTGCCGTTAATTGGTTTTGAAAATAAACATTTTGTTATTATATTATATACAGGGTGCCTTAAATTGAGTAGGATAAAATGGCTATGTGCTAACTTGTGTAGTTTTTGATGCTGATGGAGTATAATACCCCCCCCCCCCCCGTACACGTCAGTTCAATTGAAATTTCCAGTAATGCGCCATGAACGCAATGAGGGCCATAGGGGAAGGGATAATACCCCCAGCGAAAACAAACTACCAGCAAAGAAAAAACTTCGCTATCGATAACCCTTCCCCTATGACCCTCATTGCTCACGTGGTGAAATACTGGAAATTTGAATTGAGCTTTGAACGTTTAGTATTGGGGAGTGTAATACCCCCCCCCCCCCAAGTACACGTTAGTCCAATTGAAATTTCCAGGAATGCGCCATGAAAGCAACGAGTCATAGGGAAAGGATATGGAACTTTTCCATGCTGGGGGTTTGTGTTGGCTGGGGAGTATAATCCCCCCCCCCCTCATTACACGTTAGTTCAATTGAAATGTCCACTAATGCGCCATGAAAGTAATGAGACTCGTAGGGAAAAGGATATCGAAGGTTCCTTTGCTATAGGTTTTTGAAGAGAATTTGAAAAGGGTTTGAAGAGATCTAGAAGAAATTTGAAGAGATTTTGAAAAGATCTTGAGGACATTTACAAGAGATTTTCAAGAGCCTTTTAAGAGATTTTGAAAAGGTCTTAAAGAGCTTTTGAAGAGATTTTAAAGAGATTTTGAAGAGATTTTAAAGAGATTTTGAAGACATTTTTAAGAGATGTTCAAAAGATTTTGAAGATATTTTGGAGAGATTTTCAAGAGATTTTGAAAAGATGTTCAAAAGATTTTGAAGAGATTTTGACTAGGTTTTGAAGGGGTTTTCAAGAGATTTTGAAGAGGTTTACAAGAGATTTTGAAGAGATCTTGAAGTGATTTGAGAAGATCTTGAGGACATTTACTAGAGATTTTTAAGAGATTTTTAAGAGATTTTTAAGAGCCTTTTAAGAGATTTTGAAAAGGTTTTAAAGAGCTATTGAAGAGATTTTGAAGAGACTTTAAAGAGGTGTTCAAAAGATTTTGAAGAGATTTTAGAGAGATTTCGAAGAAATGTTGAAGAAATTTGAAGAGATCGTGAAAAGATTTTGAAGAGATATTAAAGAGATTTTGAAGAGATCTTAAAGAGATTTACAAGAGATTCAGAAGAGATTTTGAAAAGATTTTGAAGAGATTTTGAAGAGATCGTGAAGAGATTTTGAAAAGATCTTCAAAAGATTTTGAAGAGATTTTGGGGAGATTTCGAAGAGATTTTGAAGGGGTTTTGAAGAGATTTTGAAGAGGCTTAAAAGAGATTTTGAAGAGATCTTAAAGAGACTTACAAGAGATCTTGAAGAGGTTTGAAAAGATCTTGAGTAGATTTACAAGAGATTTTTAAGAGATTCTCAAGAGCCTTTTAAGGAAGAGATTTTGAAAGGGTTTTGAAGAGATTTTGAAGAGGCTTAAAAGAGATTTTGAAGAGATCTTAAAGAGACTTAGAAGAGATCTTGAAGAGGTTTGAAAAGATCTTGAGTAGATTTACAAGAGATTTTTAAGAGATTTTCAAGAGCCTTTTAAGAGATTTTAAAAAGCTTTTGAAGAGATTGTAAAAAGATTTTGAAGAGATGTCCAAAGATTTTGAAGAGATATTGAAGGGGCTTTGAGGAGATTTTGAAGAAGTTTACAAGAGATTTTAAAGGGACTTTAAAGAGATTTTGAAGAGATTTTAAAGAGATTTTGAAGAGATTTTGAAAAGATGTTCAAAAGATTTTGAAGAGATTTTGGGGAGATTTCGAAGAGATTTTGAAGAGATTTTGAAAAGGTTTAAAAGAGATTTTGAAGAGATCTTAAAGAGACTTAGAAGACATCTTGAAGAGGTTTGAAAAAATCTTGAGGAAATTTACAAGAGATTTTTAAGAGATTTTCAAGAGCCTTTTACGAGATTTTGAAAAGATTTTAAAGAGCTTTTGAAGAGATTTTGAGGAGATTTTGAACAGATAGATTTTGAAGAAATCTTAAAGAGATTTACAACAAATTTTGAAAAGGTTTTGAAGAGATGTTTAAAAGATTTGGAAGAGATTTTGAAGTGGGTTTGAAGAGATTTTGAAGAGTTTTACAAGAGATTTTGAATAGATCGTAAAGAGACCTAGAAGAGATCTTGAAGAGGTTTGAAAAGATCTTGAGGAGATTTACAAGAGATTTTTAAGAGGTTTTGAAAAGATTTTAAAGAGCTTTTGAAGAGATTTTGAAAAGATTTGCAAGAGATTTTAAAGGGGTTTTAAAGAGATTTTGAAGAGATTTTAAAGAGATTTCCAAGAGATTTTGAAGGGGTTTTGAAGAGATTTTGAAGAGGTTTACAAGAGATTTTAAAGGCGTTTTAAAGAGATTTTGAAGAGATCTTAAAGAGATTTTAAAGAAATTTTAGGATTTTGAAGAGGGAATCGTCGTCTAAACCGCTTTTCCATAAATCTGATTTCGCGATAACGTTAACTTTTCTTTCTGAGGATGATGCTATTTAAGATTCAAAGTTCTTCTCGTCATATTTCTAGAGGGGCACGGTTCGTATTGAAATACAAATACAAAAATACAATTTACCTTAGTTGTTTGGCGTCTAAATCTACCCTTCGAGTAGATTTAACTTTGTACCCTTAGATCACCCTCTAGTTTAGGATTCGTGGAAATGATAATTCTTTGGCTGAGGTTACACTCTAGTTCATAGCAAGAGCGGTTTGTTCTGGTTCCAACCTTCTACAGAATGAGCGGCGTTGCGCAGTTCAATGACAGAGTTAATTTTGCTTCTCCAAGCGTAATAATTATGGAGTTAAAATCAATTTATCTTAAAGAGAACCGATAGTTATTTTGAATACAAATCAAAAAGAAACTCGTTACCATAATTATGGCGTTTTCTGGAGCGGGTGGATTTCCTATGGTACTGCGATAATCGAAAAGGATGGAAAACGAAACCTGGAGCTCCGGAAGGAGTACCCCTTCTTGTGCAATTGTTCGTGTCATACATCTGTTTATTTCTATCGTCTGCTTTTAATCAGCTCGTACTTTTAGAACGTTTTCTATTTAATTCTCCGTAATAATTCGCACTTGTATACTTGTTTTACGAAGAGGCTGAAATTTTTTAACCAGTTCACAGATCATTCGGTTCATTCCCCCGCCAACGAAACTTCTGCGTTCACGCCCGTATAATAAGACCCTCTCTGTCTCAGCCCTTTCTCAACTTTACAAAAACCGCCTACAAAATGGCGCTTACAAGTTAAAGCGGACATCTTTAATGGTTAATCAATAGACTGCGCCTACTTAATCCAATCTACCAGATTGCAAGATTGCAGAGTTCTGGATTCTTACGCCGATGCATGTCACCACTATGAGTAATTCTGATTCAGCACTTCTGGTCGGGTAAAACGCATTAAGATTGTGTTATCACCCGTCAGACTGTCGTCTGTAAATTTTCTCAAGCGATTAATCGGTCACAACGCATCCGGTAACCATTGAACCACAAAATACAGATCGCCAAATTCCGGATTTACCGAAAGCGATCCTACGTTTCAAAATTGAAATGGCACATAATTTGACACCGGTAATTTGGTAATTGATACGAGGTTAGTCTAAAAAATAATTAAAATTTAGAATTTACGTAGAAAAATCTAATGTGGTCGAAGTTTACATTCGAAACTGTCAGATCACTTTGATATATTACACAAACATTTAGGGGGTGGGTACTGAACTGATTACATGTTGCGTGTACAGTAATCGATTTTGAAATACTATTATAAACCATTTGTTCAGCGACATAGTTTTTAAATATTCATTATAGAAATGGGCCTATACTGCCCCCGACTTAAA